TGTAAAACAAGTATTGAACTTTGTTAGTGATGATAATAGTACTGATGTAATAATTGGAAAACTAAGTGGTATTTATTGTAAGCTAGAGCAACTGAAGAAAATGGTGATATTCTTGAGTATTATGATTTTCATTGTGAAAATGTGAATTATAAACATAATGAAGGACAAGAGAAAGTTTAAGATATTTTACTGATGTTTTATTAGAATTAAAATATTGTTATGAGTTCGTGAATGATTAAAATATATATTTAAATCACATATGATTTTGAGTTACATTTCCTATGGACATCATTATACTGCTGGATAATCAATTTAGCAATTAGAGTTGAAATAATGTTTAAATTTTACAGAATTTGAATGTAAAAGGCTAAACACCATTTTTAGGTGCATGGCAAATTGTCTTAACAATATAAATATGTCTAATAATTCATCAAAATAGTGTTAAAATTAAACTGTCATTCTGAATATAATATATTAAAAATTAATGTATAATCATATTTTTTCTGGAATGATTATTTCAATAACAAAAAATAACATAACAAGAACATTCTTTAATTTTCTCTAGCAACAGAATTCTTGGGATACATTTCTTTTTTCTTATCCTAGCCATGACAAGAAAGAAAATTGTCACTCTCCATAATTTAGATTCATTTCTCAACATATATTAAAACATTAACTACAAAGTTAGAGGTCATTATTTTGTTGGCAGTCATTTAAATCTATGAAGATGAGAAACATATTCTCTTCAGAATTCTAATTGTTGTTTCTCTTACTTTTTTTCTCTTGGGGGGTGAGAAATGGGAATAAGATGAGTTATAGAATAAATTCCAATAGGACCTTTATATATAAATGAAGAGTTTGCTTTTCTTTATCATTGTATTTTTGTTGGTTGGATCATTTTGCTTTCTTTTGTGGAAACTTCACATCGGTAATGAAATTTGAAATTGAAAACATGAGGTAATTCAGCGCTAAATTCTGGACTTTCTAATCTAAGATGAAAAATTAGTTGTTAAGACATTAATACGGTGTGACATTTTATGCATTTAAGGAACTAGCTAAAGCCAATTATTAAATGGTAAGAAAAAAGGGGCACTGTTTTAAGATTTTAGGGTGGTTGAATAAATCATTGTATAAAAAATGGTATGACTAATGTTCATGCCCACATAGGTGTGTGTTTAAATCCTCTTTATGTACATATTTTCTGTGTCTTATAATGAATGTTTTCCTCCTATGCATATGGATTTATGCTCCCTACACAAATGGGTCCAGTATTCAATAAGGATTTCTCAAAACAGAAAGAGAAATAGCAGTTTAGAAGTTCATTTTTTTCTTCTAGCCTGTTAATTATCAATCCATTGGATTGAAAGGGAAGGTTACATAATCGCTTCCTTAGCATTATATTTTTTAAGAAAATTCAAGAGCCTCCTAAATTATAAGGAAACGTAAATGTATTGTTTCCTTGTTGTTGATGTACTAAA